AACACAATTTAAGATATTTTGGATGAAAACCGGGAGGCTTGTGACTGTCCCATTGACTGCCAAGGTCCAGAAAAGTATAAAAGACATCGTCAGAATAGTCCATCTGCCATCAGTGGTTCAACCGTAACGTTATGAAGCGACGAGAATACTTTTGGTACGCGAAGAAAACAAAAATAACGACTTTATTCAACAATTCGCATCACTGTAGCGCCATTTTGGAGAATAACCGCTGAACGCAAGAAATGTACGCTATTCAGTGTCAGCTGCGCTGCACGGATGCGCTGTTTTCGTTCAAATCAAAGAGTAAATACACGTAGAAAATGTATCCGTGTGGCGCGGCTGACACAGAAGAGCGTACGCTGCTTGCGTTCAGCGGATATTCTCCAAAATGGCGCTACAGAGATGCGGAGAGACACAGAGGAGACGAATTGTTGAATAAAGTCGTTATTTTTGTTTTCTTCGCGTACAAAAAGTATTCTCGTCGCTTCATAATGACGATGTCTTTCATACTTTTCTGGACCTTGACGGTGTAAGTTACTTGGCAGTCAATGGGACAGTCACAAGCCTCCCGGTTTTCATCCAAAATATCTTAAATTGTGTTCCGAAGACAAACGAAGCTTTTACAGGTTTGGAATGACATGGGGGTAAGTGGTTAATGACAAAATTTTCATTTTGGGGTGGAGTATCCCTTTAATATCCTGTTTGACATTACTACAATGAGTTGTGAATGCTGTTTGATGTGCCAAACTACACTCTCCATTTGAATGACTGAATTTGTGCGTTTTCTCCTCTCACCTCAGAGCCGCTGCATAAAGAAGTGCAGAGCTTGGCCTTCATCGACGTGGTGTCCAATCTGCGCTCACATGAGAACAAGACGGTGGCGCACCAGGCCTCTCTCACAGAGCAAAGGTTAACGGCACAGAGCTAAAGGACTCTTCCACAGCATCTCCTCCCTGCCTGCTTCCCCTCACACACACATATCTCTCGTTGTCATGTGCCAAGCTGTTGTCCCCTCCGCATTCCCCGCTAATAGACTCTCAAAGCCCTCTGTTTGCTCCGCGCATGCAGAGACGTGTTACCCAAAGGCGGCCATACTTTGTAGACAGCCTTCTGCAATAGATTCATACCCAAACAGCAAAATATTTTTAAAAGACCATAGCTGTGATTAAAAAAACCCCATGAAATTCATCTATAAAAGTTGAGATAAAAATAGTACATGTTGGCAGTGGAAATAGCGCAGTTGTGCTTTCATGACTTGTAAAATCACACATACCAACCAACTTGTGCATGTTTTTTTTTTTTTTAAATCATCCGGTTTGTTGATGTATCTGTGGTCAGCTATTCAAGCCACGCCCATATGATATGCCCCGCCCCCTCTCCTTCTGCTTACTAATTTACATAGAAGAGTAGAGATCAAATGTGTTTGTACTGTATAGGGCACCTCTGGACCAGCATGGACCTTTTCATATTTGCCTCCTGGTCCTTGTGCCGCCCATGATCCAAATCTCCTGGAAAGAGCTAATTCCATATCATTAGTCTGTTGCATTTACAAAAATCAATGATTATTGTCATATGGATGTGTGAAGAAGTAATATATCTTGATACCGAGGACTACAGTCGTTGTATGTGGCGCTCTTGGAAACACGATTTTTATCATTTCAGGACCTCATCAAAAGAAGTGACGTCATTATAGTGTAGTATCAATAACTTAAAAAGGATAGTTCACCAAAAAAATTACAATTCTGTCATTATTTATTCACATTCATGTGGTTCCAGAACTCTATGGCTTTCATTCTTTTGTAAGAACACAATTTAGGTAGCCAAACAGTTTTGGGTCTTGTTGACTTCCATAGTATTTTTGTCCATACTGTGGAAGTCAATGGCACTTGGAACCATTTAGTTACCAACATTCTTTAAAATATCTTCTTTCGTGTTCCTGAGAAGAAAGAAATGGCAACGTTCTGTAGACGATATCTTGAAGAAATTTAGTGTCCAAATTGTTTCAGGTCCCATTGACTTCCATTGTATTTTTGTCTATACTGCGGAGGTCAGTGGGACCGAAATGGTTTGGTTAACAAATTCTTCGAAATATCTTCTTATATGTTCCACAAACAAAATAAAATATAGAAGGTATTTTGAAGAATGTTGGTAACCAGACAGTTTTGGGTTCCATCGACTTTCATGGTACATTTTATCCGTGCTATGAAAGTTAAACGGACCTAGAACCAAAGAAAGAAATGCAAAGACCCCAGAAGCGAACAAAGAAATGCCAACATTCTGTAGAAGACATTTTGAAGAATGTTGGTAGCCAAACCGTTTTGTGTCCCAAAGACTTCCATTGTATTTCTGTCAACACTATGGAAGTCAGTGGGACTGAAACGGTTTGGATACCAACATTCTTCGAAATAGTCTTCTTGTTTGAAGAATGAAACTATTTGGTTACCAAATTCTGAAAATACCGTATTTTGTGTTCCGCAGAAGAAAGGAATTCCAACATTCTATTGATACATTCAAGATGCATACAAATACAAGATATTTTGATGAAAGTTGGTAAACATTTTTGGTCCCATCGACTTCCATGGTACTTTTTATTCGTGCAATGAAAGTTAAACAGACCTCAAACCAAAGAAAGAAATGCAAAGACCCAAGAAGCGAAGAAAGAAATGCCAACATTCTGGAGAAGGTATTTTGAAGAATTCTAGTAAGTGTCCCATTGACTTCCATTGTATTTTTGGGCCATACTATGGAAGTCAATGGGAATGTTGTTTAGCAAGATATCTTTTGTGCTCCAGAGAAAAAAAAGCAATGCATACAGGTTTGGAACAACATTAGGATGAGTGAATGATGACATGTTTTTCATTTTGGGTGGACTATGCCTTTAAAAGATACATTCCTGGTCAGGAAATGACTAGCATGACTGCCAGTACGCCATTAGCACACACACACATACAGTAGGCATCATGGCAGATTACTGAGACATGTAAGGGCTGGGACAGGTTATGTGTGTAGCTGAAACCATCACAGTTACGCTGAGCAAGGTAACCGAATAATAATACTAATGTCTCAGACGACAAACACTCATTGTGAATGTTTCTTTTGAGAAAGTGTCTTTTTTGCATGTCCTTCTTTCCATCCTCTCCAGTATCCTCCGAACATGCACCTCCTTGCATGTCCGATACTGTGAAAATCACTGTTATGTGGCCATTTTATGTCAGGTAATAAATTCTTATTTATCATGTTTGTACCCTCGAGGAACCACATGGCAATCCAGTATATCTACAGTAGGAACCGTACAAATATAAACGGAAATAATTGTTGTAAATGTCATTGATGAACTGTACATTTCAAAGATTTAAACTTATTAAAACAATTGCTGGTGACACATTTTTATGCTCTGTGATTCTACCTTGACTTCTTGTCAAAGTTAATATTAGCTAAGGTGGAAATGCTTTATTACGTAAATGTTGACGGGAAAGACTTGAGCGAGCCTCTCGCTGAGCAGATTAATGACTTTTATTCAATTGTATAAATAGTTAGGTTGAATAAAATGATTTGACAAAGTGGACTGAATCAGCAAAAGCAGTAGTTATGCATTGTGGGGTAAGAAAATATAGTATTGTCAAAAAGGATGTTGAAATATTCTAAACCGGCTCTAATAAAATGGCAGGTACTTTTTGTTGTGTATATTTAAATAATTAAAAACATACATGCATAAACACGCATACAGTAAAATATGGAAGCCCATTTATGCCACATATGAGGGGGAAACAAAAAAGTAAATTATGAGATAAATTGAAATTATGACATATGGTAGCCTACCAAATCGTAGTTAATATAGTTGATATAACTATATAATAATACTACTACTACTAATAATAGAGTTAATATAACTAAATTGTGACATAAGTCAAAACTATATTGTGGCAAAATGTTGAAATTATGTCAGTCAAATTTAAGACAATAAGTGGAAATTATGAGAGGTCAAAATTAGATAAGTCATAATTATAACACAAGTTGAAATTGACAGCTATGACATAAAATGGCATAATTATGAGATTCAAAATTATGTCAGTCGTAGTTTTGATATTTAAAACTTGACATTGTGACATGTCACGATTATGTCAGAATTTCTTAGATCAAAAATAACAATTATGAGATCTTAAGTCAAAATTATGACAAAAAGCCATAATTATAATAAGATGAAATTGACTTAATTATGCCTTTTTATGTCATAATTGACAATCTGTCATAATTTGTCAGTTATGACAAATTACAATTGTCTAAATTGTGGAGGAGAAGTCATAATTATGGCATAATTACTTAATTATGAAATCATAATTCATAATTAAATCTGAATTATTAAAAGTCAAATACATTTCAATTATGAGAAATTCATATGACAAAAATGCCTTTTTATTTAAATCTTAATTTTGAATTTCATTATTTCAACATGTCTTATTTTATTTAGTTAGTTAATTTGAACTTTTTTGTCTTAATTTTGATCTACCAAAGCTGCTGAAATGTATGTGTACCTCGTGTGTGTGTGTGTGTGTGTTTAGATTAAATTAAATAGTCATTTTAGTACGAGTATCAGTTTAACTGGAAATTAACAGCAGTCTTTACTGATGCATCTGACTGTTTTTGTTGCTAATGGGATTCCCTGTTCACTATTTTGAAATGCTTCTAAGGATAAATGGTAACATACCACTGAAAAATTAATTCTACAGAAAACCCATTACAATGCTGAGAAATAATTTATTGAAAATGTTTGTTCTTATTGCTGGAGCTTCAAGTAAGTGTATGACACAGCCTAAATAACCGCCAACATTAATATCATCACATCTTCAGATCAAACCCTCTCCCCTTGCTTTTTATAAGCATGAACACATTTGAAATGCATTGCAACTGTAAAAGCTACATCAGAATGTCATTGAAAAGAAAAAAAGACATAAACCATGTTAAAAGCAGTTTTAGTGATGTACAATTACCCACGAGTGCTACATACAGTAGTGTGTTACAGAGTGTCACACCATCCAACTGCGTTTGCATTGTGAAAGTGCTAAGATATCACTCAAGGATATTTACAACAAACAAGCTTCTGATTAGTCCATACGTTACAGAAAAATACTGCCTTGATCAGAAATTGCTTGTGAAAGAGAAACATCTGCAGAAGAAGTGTTCTGGGATCTCTAATTTGTTAGTGCAAGGACAAAAATACATTTGACAATATTAAATGTTTGAATGACTTCCTGACTGTTTTAGTGAACATAAGCTGCAAGATTTGCTTCAGATGTTTATACTTGAGAGTGAAATGTAATATACTGCTGAAGTGCATGAACCAATGTTAACAGAATAATTAAAAAAACATCGTCAATGAGAAACTCCCTGACTGAGCTTCAGACGCTCACAAATAATCACCCCCCCCACTCAACAAACTCGAAAGTTTCCAGCATCAATTATATAATCAATAATCAGAAATTGATCAAATAATCAATTTCCTGGATTATTATTTAGGCCTAAATGTATATCATATAATCTTAATATGGTCGGTATTCATATTTTTAATAATTGACCTTGTAAAGCCAGACATGTGAAAAAAAAAATCAAATTTTTTGAAATGCAATAAGCATGTGTTTTTGATGAGTATCATATTAGATACATCAGGATCACATAGTATGAAATAGTGGAATATGGAGCTCATATTCAAAGAGAGAAAAGCATTAAACATTCAATTTGGTGCGGTTTCTGATATTTTTATGACCGAAACAATGAAGTTCTTGTGATATAAATCAATGAGATCCTTATAACAATATAACAGAATACTTACATAAAATATAATGTCACGCTGTATCTCTCAATAATGTCTTAGTCAGATATTTAAATGCTTGGTTTTATGATCAAAGCTCTGTAGTTTTAAAAAATACAGTATAATGCAATGCAATACAATGATGATTGAGAGATGAACAAAATAAACGCCTGATGTTAACACTGACTGTAGCTTAATAAAATAAAGTCATTATGCCAAATGAACTCATTTGCTGTTATTAATATGTTTATATGATATTTAACATTAGTTCACTGGTTTTTACAGTGCATTGTGGGGATTTTTAGTGAGCAAACGTTCAGTGAACCAATGTCCTGAATACTGAACTAGCGAGCCAATCGTGCCGGACCCTGGTTTCAATTGTTATATTTTGTGTCAAAGTAATGGAAAGTGTTTTGAGTGATGCTTTTACAGTCCTGCAAATGGTGGTCATTTTTTTGGTTAACGCAAACCTCTGTGGACACATCATTTTTCACATTACACACATTTTGACACATAAAACACTAGAAAAAGTAGCACTATTTACAGATGGTAAAAGGTTACGGTGGAAACGCACACACAGACACACACACACACACAAACCAGTGCATCTTGTGTTCATCATTCGCTACCTTAATCGTGCTGGCGTAGGCCTGTTTACAAAGAGAAAGAAACACAGTTTGGACAACACGGCTATTTCACAACAATCAGATCTTTCTATTTAGGTTGGTGTTAAAGGAATAGTTCAACCAAAAAATGAAAACGTAATCTCTCTCAGACCATCAAAGATGTGGCATTACGCTACTAGCTCAGCAATGGATGCTCTGCAGTGAATGGGTGCCGTCAGAATGAGAGTCCAAACAGCTGATAAAAACATCACAATAATCCACACCACTCCAGTCCATCAGTTAATGTCACGTGATGCAAAAAGTTGCATGTTTGTGAGAAACAAATCCATCAAGACATTTTAACTTTAAACTGTTGCGGCCAAAATAAGAGTTAATAATCCATAATAACAGTTCCTGCAGTGAAAAAGTCCATCTCCTGTTGTCCTCTCACATCAAAATCTATCCACATATTTGTTTTAAACTGTTTTCGCTTGTAAACAGTGCTTGATCTGTGCATACTGCTCTACTGATTCAGACCTTTTCTCTGTAGAAAGCGATATTATTGATAAGAGGAGGTATTTTAGCCAGAAGCAACAGTTCGAAGTTAAAAATGTCTTAATAATGGATTTGTTTCTAACAAACACACAGCTTTTCTCTTCACAAGACTTTAACTGATGGACTGGAGTGGTGTGGATTACTTGTGATGTTTTTATCAGCTGTTTGGACTCTCATTCTGACGGCACCCATTCACTGCAGAGCATCCGTTGGTGAACAAGTGATGCAATGCTACATTTCTCCAAATCTGATGAAGAAACACACTCATCTACATCTTGGATGGTCTGAGGGTGAGTACATTTCTTTAGCAAGTTTGCATTTTTGGAGGAACTGTTCCTTTAAGAGGATTAACGTTAGCATGAAATCAATATTATATCAGAAGATTTACTTCCATCATATTCACGTTTGTTTCATGCTGACTTAAAGGATTGTGTGTTATGGAAGTGTATGCGTGTATGAATTACCTGTGAGTGTCTGCAAGACTAGCTGCCACTTCATGTGAACAAACTGCATAAGACAAAGAAATAAAAAGAAGACATGGGTCATAAACAGACGTCTAAAGCCAATTGTGCAAGGCCTCATTAAGAGTTGGCATTACTCCACTGACTTTTCCAATAAAACCAAAGTAGAGCTTTTATTTTTTGTGCCAACTTGACAAATGGGGCCTTGCATTGGAGAAATCAGCATTGCAATCTACAGTGTGACTGACTGATTTTCAGCTAGAGAGAACATGACTGATGTGGGATGCATGGAAGGGTTGCAGCAAGGCCAGCTGGCAGATCAGGGTTATAATGAGCTATAACACTCCGAGGAGCTAAACGGGACTAGAAGTGGGAGAGAGAATCTTGAGGAGCAAACGGACGGGGTTAAGATGACGAGGATCATGGAGTGTGACACATCTCTTCCTGCAGTAGATCTCTGTGGGACTGGAACCGTGAGGATGTGTGTTATAATGAGACTGTATGAAAGGGTCTTACAATAAGAACATGCAATATTTCTTCAATTGCTCACTTTAAAAACATATTAGAATATACCTTGTAGAATATATGATGTAGTATGTTTCACATTCCGCAGAACATATTTGTTGGAGAGAACAGAATTGAAGAAAAGTATGCCTTATGAATGAAATATTTTAATTTTAACTTTAAAATTTTGATTTTGATTTATTTTTTAATGAATGAATGAATTTTTTGTTTGTTTGTTTGTAATATACAGTGGGCTCCCAAAAGGTTTATAACACATAACCAAACTAAAACTATAACAATTATTATTTTTGTAACTTACAATACAAAATAAGTAAATAAATAAATAAAAACATAGCTGCCAAGGCAACATTTCTCATTTTCATTTAGTGTAACTTGTGCTAAAATAACAAAAACCGAAATAAAAATACCAAAAACTACTAAAAATGACAAAAACACAACTAAGTTACTAAAACTTATATATATATATATATACATAAAATAAAAAATATTATAATAGTATCTCAATGATATACTAAAACAACACTGGCTCCAAGAAGGAAAGTAGTTATTAAATTTGCACATAATTGGATAGAAAATATTTCATTACAAATATTATATTATCAGTAAAACAATTTATGTGAAAAGCTGAATTTAAAAAGTAAAAAAAAACATTATCTGATGTCATATATATGATAAGTACACTAAAAATAATGTACAATTTTATAAATAATGTAAAATACAATCTAATTTATGTACTTACTAATGCATCTTTCTTTTTTTTTCTTTTTTTACACTTTAACCATATTTCCAAGAAAATGGAAGTTATTATTAATTTACATCATATAAAGATGGTCAGCTACGGTCAACTTATCGCATTTAATATAAAATTAAACTATAATTCATTTTCATTTAATTTCAATTAAAATGCAATGAAATGTCTGAAAACATCACATTCAGATTGCACTTATATGCATATTATTTCAAAGCATATTTTTCTAATAACTACTCTTTTTTTCAAGGGTATTAAAAGAACTTTCTTAAGGTGAACTGCACTTGAGCCTTCGAAATAAATCAATCAATCAGAGAATCTCCTCCAGGTGTGATGTGAAGATGGTTAAACGTGTGAAAGTGTGACTGCTTTGATGTTAGTGAATGCCTGGACCTCTGATGAATGATTACTCATGTAACACTGCGAGAACACTGACTAGCCCTCAGTGGAGGAAGAGCAGAGCGCTGATGATCTAGATTCTAGGAGAACACAGAGAGCACACACAACACAAGCAGGCACGTTTCACACCCACCAGGACAACCTCCCTCAGGAGTACGCCGAGGCTTTCTTGCTGTAGTGGGACGGGGGGCGGCGGGCGACGTAAGAGGGGGGCGGCACCCTGATGAAGGCATGGGGGAGGAGAAGTGAAGGTGTGAGGTGAGTCGGTGTGAATGTGACAGAGAGGACGGAGGAAAGTGAGTGGAGTGTGTGTGTATCGTGATGAGATAAAATAGAGAAGTAAAATCACATTCACATTAGCCTAAAGTGAACGCTAAATGGTTACACAGCCATGCATCTTACATAAATTCTCTAATATAATTCTAATATTAATATAAAAAAGGGCTAATATTACCTAATTTGATGATGCCGAGTTGAAAAAAAAATTCTAATGTTTTTGTTTTCTCTCAAAAATTATTTATGCATCACCTAAAGGAAAAGTGAATGGGTGCCGTCAGAATGAGAGACCAAACAGCTGATAAAAACACAAGTAATCCACACCACTCCAGGCCATCAACTAACATCTTGTAAAATGAAAAGCTGTGTGTTTGTAAGAACCAAATCCATCCTGGCATTTTAACTTTAAACCATCGCTTCTGGCCAAAATACGAGTCTATAGTCCATAATAACACTTCATCCATCTACTGTTGTCCTCTCACATCAAAATCCACCCACATATTCGTTTAGAAACTGTTTTGATTTAAACGGTGCTTGATCTGTGCAGATCTCTCTCCTGATTCAGACAAGATGACTTTTTCACTGAAGAAAGCAATATTATGGATAGAAGCTTAAAATGTCTTAATGATGGATTTGTTTCTTACAAACATGCAACTTTTTGCATCACATGACATTAACTGATGGACTGGAGTCGTGTGGATTATTGTGGTGTTTTTATCAGCTGTTTGGACTCTCGTTCTGACGGCACCCATTCACTGCAGAGCATCCATTGGTGAGCAAGTGATGCAATGCTACATTTCTAAATCTGTTCAGATGAAGAAACACACTCATCCTAATCTCAGATGGCTTGATGGTGAGTAAATATTAAGCAAATTTTCATGTTCGGGTGAACTATTGCTTTAATGCACTATCAAGATAACAAAAGTCAAATGTCAAAAATTTTAGTTTTAAAATAACATGTTCTTTTTTACAAATCAGCACCCCGAATTAGTAAGAAACAAGTATTGGATTTCATTCAGCAAATATGATGCAGGCCGGTATTATAATGAATCTTAATTTTATGTATTTTAACAGTAATCTTCTGTTTAAGTGATCTGACACTGACAGTTGAGAGAGTTTCGATCAAACATCATCTTCATCTATTTCCTGTTCTGTCCACATGGTGGCACTTCTCAAAGCAAACACGGCAACCTAGGAAAGGTTGTTTTGAGGTTTTTTAAGACTCCGGAAACACGCCGAGTCATTAACAGTTTTAAAGAAGTGAGTCATTAATGTGCATTATGAATAAAATGATGTACAGGCATCAAAGCACTGGGGTGAAAGAGAAAAGCTGCTTGCCGTGGCAGTATGCAAAAGTAGAGCAGGAACAGAGTCGTGAGTTTGCATGTGTGTGTTCTTACCAGCTGGCTCTCACAGCTTCAATATCACTGATTAAATTTTGTGCAAGGCATATTCCAAATATCTGTGGAAAAAGAGAGAGAAAGATGAAGTATAAATAGCAGAAGCAGTCAGCGATTGCAGATGAAGGCGTTCTCACCTGCAGCAGAGCGACGCCGATGAAGATCCCAGCCACTACCGTCAGGTTGTCCTGTAGCCATTTCTCAAACTGCGGCACACAGCCTTTGACATGAATGTATGTCTTCTGCTCTGCGTCCTAATGATGAACACACGAGATCAGGATCAATGCTTTGTCCTCTTTCTACACACGCACAGATTAGTCTACAATTTAAACACACATACTTATTTCCCATGTCATTTTACAGATCCTTAATCTAAAGGATTATATATTTGTTTTGTTTACATTTGATATATATCACTGAAAAAAAGATTTTTTTGAAATTCTAAATAAAAATGATTGGAGTACATTTTAGAAGAATATACTTTTTCAGTGTTTATTTTAACTTCAGAATTTCACTATTAATCACACAATGTGTACCTAATAACAAAGGTTATATATATATATATACACACACATTTAGTGCTGTCAAACGATTAAAATCCAAAATAAAAGTTTTTGTTTTCATAATGTATATGTGTGTACTTTGTAGATTTATTATGTATATATAAATACACACACATACAGTATATATTTTGAAAATATATACATTTATTAACGTGTATATATTTATGTTCATATAATTTATATTATATATAAATATGATTAATATAAAAACATAACATATTTTTCTGAAATATATACATGCATGTGATAAATATACACATTACACACACATATTTTATGTAAACAAAAACTTTTATTTTGGATGTGATTAGTCACGATTAATCGTTTGACAGCACAAAAAAAAAAAAAATATATATATATATATATAATAATCATCCAAGTATGAAGAAGCTTCAATATAAGATTTATTATTATTTTTGGTCTCTATGCAATACCCATACTTTGAAAACAGTAAATTTGTGTTAATAAGACAATTTATGTTATTTAATTACAGTTATGAAAACAGGAGTACTGTATGTGTGTCCAAACCTTTGACTGGTACTGTACATGATACATGTGCAAATATCTCAGGGTTAATGTTAAATGATAAAGATGCTCGCTGAGGCTGAAATTGCACTTAAGAATAAATGGGACAAATACATTTTCGAATGTTAATTTTGTTGCTGCAAGTTGAAATAACCTCTGATGTATAGCATGTCATACTTTGTCTTCTGCAAAGTTTATGCCCTCGGTATATTTGTTGTGTGAGATCACATCAATTTCAATTCAAACTTAACATTTTTATTTTCATTTTGCATACTTTGTAGCATCAGCTTCCTTTTTTTATAGGTCGGCCAAACGGCCCTGACCTTTGAGAGTTGTGCGGGTGATATACTGGCTCTCAGAAGCACGCAGAGGTGAAGTGCAGAAGGCAGAGGAAACACTGATGGAGGGAGTGCAAAGTCACAAGAGAGCAAGACTCACCGGTTTTGCCCGAACATCATATCCACATTGTGTGTTGATTACATCCTCCTGCAAAACACATAATTGATGTGGAATTATTGGAAGACAACCGTAACATTTCAATTTAAAGGAAGTATGCTGACAGTGTGAAGAATTCCATTGTGGGGGGAGTGAAGAGATAAGACTGGAAATAGCAAACTCTGAGGGAGTTACTTCATCATTTTTAGAAGTCTTCTTCCTTACAAACTAGTAACAGGATGTGCCTGTCACCCTTCGGATCTTCATGACTTATTTCACCTTGAATAGCTGTTGCTCCTCTTCCAAATCACTTCTGGAAATCTTGTTTTGAACATTTTTAAACAAGCTTGAATTTTGAACATTCCATATAATGTGAATAGACTCTTCATTTACACTTTCTTTTAGTAAAGTTATAGTAGTTAAACAGTTATGAACTTAAATTACTCTTTATTTAGTTGTTCTGCTTTTATTATTCTAAGTTATAGCATCAGCAGTTTCCCTCACACTGAAATGATGAATCGCTGCATTCACAGAAGAGCTCATAATCGAATCATTTAATGTTAATGATGTTTATTTGTTATGAGTTTATAGCTCATAATAGGCCATCATTTCCGTCCTCTTTGCTGTAGACGTTGTGCTCGCAGTGCTTGTTTAATGTTATTTTTACTCTGTTCACGTAGACCAAATCCTGTTTAATACTCCCCTTTTGTTTCACTCTTTGTCATGTATTGTTTTCCCTCAAACTTTTAGTCTCTCTTAAATCATTAAGATAGTGGCATACAAATTGTGCTTGGAAAAGAACAGAACATTTGTGGAGCTAGACAGCAAGTATCTCACTGGCAAAATTGTCATCGCATCATATTCAAATAAAAAATTCAATTCGTTAAAAGAATAAGTTCACCCAAAAATGAAAATGTGCTGAATATTTACTCACGCTCAGTTCATCCACGATGGAGATGAGTTTGTTTCTTCATCAGATTTGGAGAAATTGCATCACTTGCTCACCGGTGGATGCTCTGCAGTGAATGGGTGCCGTCAGAATGAGAGTCCAAGCAGCTGATAAAAACATCACAATAATCCACAAGTAATCCACACCACTCCAGTCCATCAATAAACGTCTTATGAAATGAAAAGCTATGCGTTTTTAAGAAACAAATCCATCATTAAGACATTTTAATAAGTACAAACAGTCCAAAACAGTTCTAAATCATGTGGGTGGATTTTTTCACTGGAGGAAGTGTTACATAGATTATGAATGCATATTTTGGCCAGAAACAAAGGTTTAAATGTAAATGTTTCTTACAAACGTGCAGCTTTTCTCTTCACAAGACATTAACTGATGGACTGGAGTGGTGTGGATTATTGTGATGCTTTTATCAGCTGTTTGGACTCTCATTCTGATGGCACCCATTCACTGCAGAGGATCCATTGGTGAGCAAGTGATGCAATACTACATTTCTCCAAATTCGTTGTGATGAAGAAACACACTCATCTACATCTTGGATGGCCTGAGGATGGTTACATTTTCAGCAAATTTTCAGGTGTATGAGAAGAATAACCACTCCAGTTCATCAGTTAATGTCTTGTGAAGTGAAAAACTGTGTTTGTAAGAAACAAATCCACGATCGCTTCTGGCCAAAATACATTTTATTACGCTTCCTCCATCTCCTGTTGTCCTCTCACATCTTTGTTTAGAACTATTTTAGACTGATTACAGTTTTTTGCTTGTAAACGATGCTTGATCTGTGCGTACTGTATTTCTCTTCTGATTCAGACAAGACAACTTTTCACTGGAAAAAGCAACATTATAGACTGAGAACTCGTATTTTAGCCAGAAGCGACGGTTTTAGGTTAAACCCGTTTTAATGATGGATTTTTTTATTACAAGCACCTGTTCTCTTCACAAGACATTAACTGATGGACTGGAGTGGTGTGGATTATTGTGATGTTTTTATCAGCTGTTTGGACTCTCGTTCTGATGGCACCCATTCACTGCAGAGCATCCATTGGTGAGAAAGAGATGCAATGCTACATTTCTCCAAATCTGATGAAGAAACAAACTCATCTACATATTGGATTGCTTGTACATTTTTTTTAGCACATTTACATGTTTGGGTGAACTATACCTTTCATTCAGTTGCCATAAAAGTTAATCTCTTACCGCTGGGTCTTTGGTGCAACAGGAGAAGGGCACGCCACATTTTTCTCGGCTGGGGTTGCTGTCTGTGCAGTTGAAGTAGATGTTGAGGTTCCAGTCATCTGCTCCAAACGCCCCACAGCATTCCCACTGAAGAAAGGCAAACATTGTGCATGCAATTATATTTCTTGAGTTTTGGAACGCACATTCATCATGAGATTAAATTGCAATAATTTGGAATATTGGACAACTCTAATAGGAAGCATTAAAGGGGTCCTATTATGCTTTTTCACTTTTTTAATTTTAGTCAGCGTGTAGTGTGTATAATGTTAGAATTAAAGAACAATAAACATAATACATATGCACTTATCTGTACATAGTAAATGCAGTTATTTTTAAGCGGTTGTTGACATCCTATCTAAAACGTGATTTAGCCAAAAAAAACCCAAAAAAACAACAATAACGTTACCACTCTAATATGTCTTGCAATATGCATGCGTGCAAAGGTTCTGCGCGATCCTCTTGTTCAATATTCTCTGGTTCTGAATCCGGCTCAAATTGATATGGCAGTATTTACACCATCCTTAACTAAAGGGGTCATATGAGGCAATTAAAATTTTTCCTTTCTCTTTGAAGTGTTACAAGCTCTTGGTGCATAAAGAAGATCTGTAAAGTTGCAAAGACTAAAGTCTCAAATCCAAAGAGATATTCTTTATAAAAGTTAAGAGTCAACCACGCCTACCTAAAACGGCTCGTTCTAACACGCCCCCACATGTCTACGTCACGATGTGGGAAGATTTGCATAACGCCGCCCAAATGTTCATGCAAAGAAAGAAGGCGTAACTTTTATTCTCGCTGTAGTATTGTTGCTGCCGCCACCATGTCGTGAAGGCGCTGTGTTTCGTTGTGAAAGCAAAACTACTTTGTTTGGTCTTCCAAAAGAGGACACGACCAGAAATCAGTGATTAAGTTGTATTTACAACACTGTTCCAGAACACTTCAACCCAAATATTCAGATGTGTGCAGCGCATTTTACGGAGGACTGTTTACTGATCCTGGGAGAGTAGACTACAATGCCGGCTGTTCTGACTCATAGCCTGTAAGTACGTTTTTTATATTAAAGAATTTGCCACTGATGATTCAAACGCGAGTTTTGAGCAGTGTAGGGTAGCACTTGTTGTTTGTCGTTTCTCCGATCACAAATGCAGACATGGTTTTATGTTTACGCGGTGCGATGCAACGCAACGTAAAAAGACAGTACAAGTCATTATAATCCGTAATTATGTCCCCACTGGACGCAACAAATGCCTCGTTTATAATGGGTTTTAATGTTTTTGTCTCGTCGCTCTGGCCGGACACGGCATCACAGTATGGTAGGGGCGTAACATTTCTGTCACACACTTGAGGTATTTGGCCAATCAGAGCACACCTCGCTTTTCAGACTGACTAGCTTTGTAAAAATCGACGTGTTTCAGAAAGGCGGGGCATAGAGGAGAAACAATAATGTACAGTATGTGGAAAATAATGTTTTTTGAACCTTAAACCGCATAAACACATTTCATTACACCAAATACACAAAATAATGTTCTTTTTAGCAACATCATATGACCCCTTTAACTAAACTTGCTGCTTTGGCAAGGGGCGTGGCAGTACTGAAACACCGTCTTAAGCTGTTCGTCAATCACAACGCACTGGGACAGCTAACCGATCACCTCACATTTAGTTTTTTGGAAGGCGGGCGTTCATCAAACCCGGAACTAATCGAGCCGTTTGTGCCAAGCTGGGGAGAAAGGTATTGTAATAATGTAAATTATGTAAAAATTAATGCGTTTTTCGAACCACCAAGCATAAGAGCATGTTCTAGTACACCACCAAAACAAATTCAAGACATTGTAAAAGAACATAATAGGACCCCTTTAAATGCATTAGACTGCATCTGTTTAATACACATCGATGTTACAGATGTGGCATAAGCAAGCCGTGATCCCCCATGTTTTCCCCTTATACTAGTATTGATGTTGACATGCAGTGCTTTTCTGTGTCTGTCGTCTTTATCATGTAAGGTCAGCAAGGAAATAACATGACAGCATCTGCCTGATTCTGATATCTAATTAAATCTGTCCCGAGGAAAGGCATCTGCTGGAAAGAGATCAACAGTACAGAGTAAAGCTGGGAAGAAAACACAGTAAAGCTGCAGTTGCAGTGCAGTGTGGGACTGTAGCAGGGTTTTGCTCAGGAAACAATGTCATTTGTGTGCTAAGTGTGAACTTCTACTTATATCATTAATAGCAAACTGAACTTTGTTACACTGATAGATGTCACACTGTTAACTGAGTAATGCAAATAAATAAATAAATAAATAATAAAAGTGTTAACAAGACAATTGCATGTTTTTCAGTTTTTTACACTAGAATATTAGTTATTTTGTATATCCCACTGTTACATTTTAATGGGTTTCTTTATATCAAATACAAATATGATGAATACATACACTAAAAAAAATGAAAAAAAAATTGAATGAAATAAAATATTAAAATATAGAATATGAATTCTATGTTTGAACCCTAATGTGAGCGACATCATAAACGTTTTTCACAAGAAATGTTTTTGAACAGTAAAGAAATATTGTGCGACACAAACCACGAAATATTGACTGAAGTAATCTGCAATGATATGTTTGCACTTTTAACCTTGCAACATTCACAACATTTCAAATGCAAATATTAATATGTTTTCAATTATAGGTTATTAAAAGGCATGCCAAAACTAAGTGATATTACTCATTATTGTTTTTCAGTTAGTTTTGATAAATAATTACAGGTACTTTGCAACACTGTAACCAGCAGGGTCAGAAATGAATGGGAACTTGGTTGCAAAATGCCACCAAAATTAATAAAATTCAAGATATGAGGACAAAAATGAGCCCCTGTATGCCCCTTGTTTTTTAGATTTACAACATATGATATTTTAAAGCAATAGCACACATTATAAAGTTAATATTAAGCGAGTTTAGTGACAGTATTGTCAATATTGTCTGTTTTTTTTGCTCTACTGTATTTCACCAACAAAATTAGTTCAAACAAAGCTGCAGTAGCAGGAGCAATATGTTTCACTTCTGAATGAATCTGTGTTTTTGGATTTGAATCAGTCTAATGAGTGATTCAATGACTCACTCATAAAGACACACATTAAAGACTCACATGCTTCATTCCTGAATGAATCAGTCATTTTGAACAAATCGAATTTGAACCAATTAATTATTCAACGACTCACTCATTAAGCTTGCTGCCACCTACTGGTTTTAATTTCACATTTTTAAATTATCATTTTTGGCAACACTTCATTTTAAAGTGTCCTTGTTACATGTACTTACTTTTATAATAACAATAAATTATGCACAATTACATGCAAGTAACTCTAGATCAAACTCTAATCCTAACCCTACCCATAAGTGCATGTAGTTAATTAATATTACTCCGTACTTAAATGTATAATTACACTGTAACAAGGACACCTTAAAATAAAGTGTAACTTTTCAAATTTCAAATTTCTACATTCAAAGTATTATATATAAAAAATGTATATCATAAGATTATGCAACTTTAATTGCAGTGTAAATGCATTTATTCCAACTCTGAGCTGCATTAAACAGTCTGTGTGAATTCAATGCCACCTGAGGTGCAGCTTTTGTGCAAAGATTAATTTCGTTGATACACACTTCATTTAATTGGTAACAGTATTTCAAATTCACTTAAATGTACTCGATACATTCAATTAGAATAACAAAGCACTATATCCATCTATAAAGTGTCTCTAGATATATTTCATGGCCACTAATCTGACTACTGGGGTCATCTTGTAGTGTTCTCCCAATGTCTATGGTAGATTTTGGACATAGTACTTCGAGTCTAAGGTGAAAAAATAAGATTTCTTAAAGTTCAATAGTAACTTTTTCAAATGAAATACTTCTCAGATAAGAAAAACAACAACTTCCAGACCCAAATGGCACCATTTCCTGAGAATGACCCAGTAACCTTCTAAATGTCAACACATTTTAGCCTCGAAATAAACAAAATTCCGAGCAGTTTGACATCTCACTATTCAAAGAATTGAGGAAACGTGAACCGACAGGGATCTCAGTAAGTGCGCTGTCTGTGCTGACAGTGAATAAGGAGTCTTCAAGTCATGCTGTTGCTATGGGAACTGCTTCTGTAATGACATGTAGCGCAGATAAACTGATAGTTTCCTTTTTTCTCCTGTGCACACACATTTTCACCTTTCATCTGGTTTACACCTTTCCTCATTTTCACTTTCTAGTGTATTTTCTCTGTCTGTATATTGGAGACATGAGTGCTCTCTGCTCTCTAGCCTGCAGTCTTACATATTCCTGAGTGAAGTCGATGAGGTTCTGCAAGTCTATGTCATCTCTGTAGGCTCGTATGTTGTTGTTAATGAAAAAGTTGAGCTGATCTTTAATCCAGTCTTTAAAGACAAAGGCCAGGACACCGGCGGTCAGCTCCAGGAAGAAGATTATCCCCAGAAACACAGAGAACTGGGAGAGGAGAGAGACAAATACACTTTACTACAGTCATTAACACTCGTTTGACCTCTCTACCTCATCCACTGTAGTATTTCCTTTTCTGTTCTGAATAATGTAATAAAATGTCAAAATTGAGAAAAAGATTTTTGTATTTTTAAATTATTGTTACCAAAATGCATTGACACTAGTTTCATTTTTGCAGTCTGAGTCTAAACATGAACAAATTAATACATACAACATACTAAACGGCAATAAATAAATGAGTGACATCAGATTTAGCAAATTTAGCAAATTTATTTTTTGTTATAGTTTCTAAAATGCATTGCAATGTATGCAATGCGAGTCAAAGCAAATACATACATACATAGAAAATGCCAAAACTGAGAAAAGATCTAATTGCTTTATTACAAAAATTGAAATTACACTATTGTAATATTTTTTTGCAATTTAAGTCCCAAAATATTAAATAATAAATATTACTATAAAAAATGTCACTCGTGACCTCAGATTGTAAAGTATAAATTTTGTGATTTTTAAAAAAATCACTTTTGCAAATGAAAAACATTTTAAGGTGCATTAATTGATCCATGTTCTATTACATTATTTGGAACATTGATCCATGTTCTATTACATTATTTCTAGCAGACATGCATGGTTAGACCTTGCATGGTTTTGTATCAGTAAACCAATGACTGGTGTTAGATAAGTGAGCAAAGTACAGTGTGCTATGTACAGCGTTGTTTGACATCCAGTTTTGTCATAACATATAAGCACAGAAGTAATCAATCCTGTTCTTCAATTGTTGCATTTACAAACATCAAATATATATTCTATTTTAGTATTTTCTAACTGTGCCTAAACTGCTTTGTACATGCACTCTCTGGTAGATGTTCGTCCCGCATGTATTAATGACTGTCGAAACACCCATGCATGTAAGTGTTAAAAAAAGCACTAATCTGTTTTGTAGGAGGCTACACCTACACCTAATAAGAATCAAAACTTGAATACATACAAATTTGAGCAGGAAGGTGTTTTCCCTCAGGGCCCCGATACAGCCAGCGAAACCCAGGATGAACATCACCCCCCCAACCACCAGAAACAACCACACTGGATCAAATCCACCCAGATCCGTGATGGAGGAGATGTTAGACAGAACTCCCTGAGGAACACACAGAGCTCTAATTAGTTGAACGGCTTCCCAGAACCTTGAGAATTTGGTTCAAATGTGATTGTTTGCAATTACGGGGATATTTGCAAATATTTCATTATAAACAGAAGCCGTGTGGTTTCAAAGTCACAAATATGACACAGAAAATGGCAAACTGATCAAGCATACACAGACACACAATATATCAAAGTGTGTATATACAGGTTTGTGTGTAAAAGATCAGACAGACTATTGGGTGAGAAATTTAAACAATATTTTCAGTCATATGAAACTGTCCAAAAATGCATCTTTGTGGTCCACTCTACATAGTGTGTTTGTAGACAAATAACTGTGTGTGTGTGCACAGTGTGTGTGTGTCTACATATGGAGAAAACAGCTGCACACATGTGATAATGCTGTTAGCTGTTATTTCCATCCCTATGTAATAAATAAATAAATAGATAAATAAATCAACTTAAAACAAAACAAACATTAACAGAAATAAAATACTTTTGTTTTTTATTTCAGCTAGCTGCTAAGGCAACATTTCTTATTTGCATTTAGTTGTACTAAAATAACTAAAACCAAAACTGAAATAAAAATTAATAAAAACTATATTATATACATTTAAAAAGTACTTTAAGTAAAATGAATATGAAAAATGTTAATAAAAATATAATATCATCGCAGTAATCCTAAAACATCACTGCACCTCACACGGGACATCTCAACTTCACATGTACGTTAATATGCCTATCAAATAAAGATAAATTGTATGGATTATGCATTCAATCTTGTTTTTCTCACCTTCTCGCTCCATGCCCACAATCCGATTCCAAGGAAAGCCACACCAAGCAACTATAAAACAAGACAGATATGGCATTACTTTAGCAATGGTGATTGTGATAAACACAAAGCAAAGCAGATTAAGAGGTTTTAAAAAGTTGTGAAGGGCTTTGAGATGTTACAGCATGCATCGCACATTATTGAAAACAATAATTTCACACATTATTTGTTCAACTTTTTTATTTGTGGAACACAAAAGTAGGGATGCTCCGATCCGCCTTTTTCGCCTCCGATACCGATTCCGATACCTAGAGTTCGGTATTGGCCGATACAGATACCGATCCGATACCAGTGAAGTTTTTTCCCTCATTTAAATAAATGTAGAATTTATATATCACTGTGTGTAGAACTGATAATCATTCTTTCACAATCTACTTGATACAGACGACTTCATTATAAAGAAAAATAAAATAAACAATAAATATGTGACACAAAAAACAATAACGAATGACTGACAGCCACAGCAGAAAAAAGAGTTTGTGTGAACTTTAATGTAAGGACTCAAATATTCATATGTAGCTCACATTAAGCTATCGTATGGCTTCAGAAGTAACACAGAATAATTCGCACAATCGAAAAAAAAGAAAAAAAATCTCGGATTTGGATCGGCTTTCTCTGACCGATACCCGATCCGAGAAAAATGGCACTATCGGAGCCGATACCCGATATGAATATCGGATCGGCGCATCCCTACACAAAAGAAGAAGAATTTTAGTTCCCATTGACTTCTACTGTATGGTCCAAAAATATAATGGAAGTCATGGGAACCAAAACTGTTTGTACCAAAATATATTTTGTGTGTGTGAACTATCCATTTAAATGTTTCTTTAACCCACAATTATACATAAAAAATAAAGTGCAGACCAACCTAGAGTGCAATATCACACTCTGATATGAAAATGTAAAAACTATGTCATCCATGATTATGAAAAGACATGAAAATTTCATGCTGTTTGGACATGTGAGGCAGAGCATAGATTACCATTCTCCAAAGTACACAGTAATGTTTCCATTTCAAAACCCCCTTCCCAGTGAGCCAATGCTGAACATTAGAGATAAAAAGACGGCAAGCATTTTATCAGATCCCCTCAGCCTGACCGAACATTAGGTCATGACTCGTAACCATTGACTGTAAAGGGTGCCAGCCTCTATATCTCACTCTTAAGGTCTTGTTTGTAATTTCAACAGCTTCTCATGTCACACTCTGACACAGTTTCTGCAATCTGATCTTATATGGTGGCATATGAGCAGACATCTGGTTCTTCCCATGAGACGTATGTCCTCATTGTGTCCACAGGGCTGTGATTCTGCTAGCCTTTCAGAACTGGAGAACATCGCCTTTATTTGTACCTTATTTCTTCTTATGCTATGTTTTTTCTTTTCTTCTGCCAAACATTAAACACACACATATGTACGGTGTTCACATTAACTGTAAGGCTTACAAATATAAAGAAAGATAGAACTGTACTACTGGCAGATTTTGTATAGCTGAAATTATAATTTAATTAAAGGAATAGCTTAAATTACTTTAAAGGCCAAATTAAAGGAATTGTTCACACAAAAATGATAATTTGCTGAAAATCTACTCACCATTAGGCCTTCTAAGATACAGATGAGTTTGTTTCTTTATCTGAACAGATTTGGAGAAATGTAGCATTGCATCACTTGTTCACCAATGGATGCTCTGCAGTGAATGGGTGCCGTCAGAATGAGAGTCCAAACAGCTGATAAAAACATCACAATAATCCACACCACTCCAGTCCATCAATGAACGTCTTATGAAATGAAAAGCTACGCGTTTTAAAGAAACAAATCCATCATTAAGACATTTTAATAAGTACAAACAGTCCAAAACAGAGGAAGTGTTACATAGATTATGAATGCATATTTTGGCCAGAAACAATGGTTTAAATGTAAATGTTTCTTACAAACGTGCAGCTTTTCTCTTCACAAGACATTAACTGATGGACTGGAGTGGCGTGGATTATTGTGATGTTTTTATCAGCTGTTTGGACTCTCATTCTGACGGCACCCATTCACTGCAGAGGATCCATTGGTGAACAAGTGATGCAATGCTACATTTCTCCAAATCCGTTGTGATGAAGAAAGAAACTCATCTACATCTTGGAAGGCCTGAGGATGGTTACATTTTCAGCAAATTTTCAGTTTTGCTATATGAGAATAATAATGATAAAAAAAAGAGCTAGACGTGGGTGGAAACACATGGACCTGAATGCCAGCTATGCAATTCTACACAAATAAATGATTGCTTTCAAATATAACCACTGTGTTTTAGTGGGGTCAAGACCTTTAGTCAGATCACCCATCTGTACTGTATATCACAAGCCGTCAGACTTGAGAAACCTCCAGAATTTCATTCACTATTCAAGAAAACACTCACAGCTACATTTTGCCAAGTCGTTTTAGTCTAAACGGCCCTGTTTGTCTCTCATAACGCTCCATCGTTTCACCATCAGAGCGCCCACTTTGCCTCACACAAGAGTTTTTGTGTCCATAAATTATACAAGACAGTCTCTCTCATACAGTACTTCTTTTAGTAAAACATGAACTCTAACTCGGACACAGTACAGTCCTGTATTTACTTAATACACTGGAAAAATAGATGTGGGATTTACTTTCACTTTCACTCAGAAATTGCTAGTAAATTTAAACAAATAATTACAAAGAAATGGCAAAACATATTCCAATAATCTTTGTATTATTTACAACTTTTAATTTAATTAATAAGTAGTAAGGTAGTTGTTAAGTTTGGTATGGGGTAGAATTAAGAGATGGTCATGCAGAATAAGACATTAATAAGTGATTTATAAGTACTAATAAACAGACAGTATGCTAGTAATCTCTCTCTCCCCCTCTCTCCCTCTCTCTCCCCCTCTCTCTCTCTCCCTCTCCCCCTCCCTCTCTCGCTCTCTCCCCCTCTCTCTCTCTCCCTCTCTCTCTCTCTCTCCCGCTCCCCCTCTCTCTCTCCCTCTCTCCCCCTCTGGTTACTGCGTAAAGCCTCATATCACCACAATCAGTGGTTCACAGGAAGAGAAAAAACAAACAAACAAAAAACAAATAAAAATCATGTAAAGTAAACAGATGTACAGACTGCAAAAATCAAAGGATATAATCATTAAATGTTAAAGGTGGCATGAAATGAAAATTCACCTTATCTATTTTCCAAATGCATGTTATAGATCTTATTGCATATGTTTAAACACCCACATCTCCAAATCACACTACTTCTTGCTCGAATCCACTTGGATGCATGTCGGAAGAAAAGATCTCTCGCTACTTCTGTTTCACCGCAACTTGTGTTTTTTGTAAATTTGAGGAATTTTAAAATATAAAAGTTTTTTTTTAATTAATTTGTAAAATGGTTGCTAATAGAGGGAGACCTTGAGAGTGAGGAATGAAGGACGATTTAGTTTCTTGGACTTGATTTCAAAAACTGAAGTTTTGTGGAGTACAAAGGCTCCATTCATTCCCATCCAACTTTGCACACAATGGAGCGAACCAGAAAACATGCAGCTTTTTTTCAGCATCACAGGGTGTTGTTTGTGATATTAAAGCTGCACACACACCCGGTTCACATGTCTCTGTGGACTAATATACATGGAGAAATGCATATTCCTTCTTGCATGGGTTAATTAAGCTTTCTAAACTCAAGTAGTCTGAAAGGAACTGTATGGCATCAGCATCAGATTCAGTCAGGACATGGAAAGACACTAAAGAGAATTAAATGGATTCACAAATATTCCCAGAGCAAACATGCATTATTATGATAATTTTCATAACAACCAGCTGCTCCAATAAAGCTTAAGCATAATGGCTACCCTGCACTCCATATTATAGTAGACAGAGAATTATATACTATAAGATTACTGTATGCAATGAATGGTCACATGTAGACCATAACGTATGCATGCATTTTTTAAATACTTGCATTTATTTTATATAAAATTATTTTAATGGCATTTATTACTGAATTGAAGCTGAGTTTAAGTAATCCAGTATTTAGTGTCACATGATTCTTCAGAAATCATTCTAATATGCTGATTTGCTGCTCAAGAAACATTTCTTATTATTATTATCAATGTTGAAACAGTGGAAACCGTGATACACTACCATTCAAAAGTTTGGGATTAGTGAGATTTAGTAAAAAAAAAAAAGAAAGAAAGAAAAGAAATTGATACTTTTATTTAGCAAGGATGCATCGAATTGACCAAAAGTAAAAACATTTATAATGTTACCAAAGATTTCTAATTCAAATAAATGAAATTTCTTGTTTTCATTTTCATCAAGGATTCATGAAAAAAAACTTTTTTTCAACACTAACATAATAAGAACATCATTAATAATTGAGCACCAATAATAATTGATAATACGGTTAGCAAATCAGCATATCAGAATGATTTCTGAAGGATCGTGACACTGAAGACTGGAGTAATGATGCTGAAAATTCAGCTTTGCATCACAGGAATAAATTACATTTGAAAATATATGGAAATAGAGAACAGTTATTTTAAATTATAATAACATTTCACAGTATTACTGTATTTTTTTATCAAATAAATGCAGCCTTGGTGAACATAAGAGCCTTTTTAAAAAACATTTAATACACACACATTTGGCCAGTCCATAATGTAAATACACAACCTTTTTAGTTAGATATATTATATTCTTGTTCACCATCTGGCATCATGACCAGCATACTCTTAAAGGAGATGACATACACCTCAGTGAAAACATTCGGTATGCAAGCCAGAAAAATGTCACGCAGAAACAAAGGAGTGCTTTGACTTAAGGAACAAGCTAGTGGAGCCTGACTCACTTTCAATTTGGAAATGCATTCAGACAGTGTACCGAAACGAGAGCAATATTTCTGAGGTGTGTTATATGCTACCCTGCCAAAATAAATCTATTGCTTTAGTTGATTTTATTAATAACGATGTTATTCTTATATATGCTATTTGCAAACATGTTTACACAAAATCCAAAACACTTCTCGTACACCTGCTCTCACCATACAATTAAAAGAGACATTTTAATTTATAGATCTATGAATACATCTATTTGGGAGGTTTGTTTACTGCTTTATCTGAGCGCCTTAAAGGGGTGTCATTAATGTCAGCCATACAAGACAATTGTGCACTGCACTCTGACTTTAATTAGTGCAGCTGATTTCTGATATGTACAGTAAGAGAAATGTCACTTTTCATTATGAGTCATCTTTCAGTAAAATACTTTGTGTGGTAAGCTGTGTCACAAAACCCCCAATGTTAACCCAAATAAAGAACGTGAAAAAAGGAAAAAGCATTACCCGGGTGAGATCATAACAAGAAATTATGACCTCAGCGTCCAGTTATACTGTAACATGTCATGGCAAGTAAAACATACAAATACATTCCAACTTTTGTTACCATCTAGTCTAGTCCAATGAATAGAAGAAACAACGAATTCATCCTTTAAGAAGCTGTCAGTGTTCTTTTTTTTTAAGGAATCAATGAGTTCAACCAAACCAGTAACAATGAATAGTGTATTATGGGACATATTAGCCTATATATGGCAGTAGGTGACATATATCACATTCTATTATCTATTAAAAATCGGTTTAACAATCACTTTTTTTATTATTTAAAAGATATTTGTCTTTGTAACTAAGATTTTTCTGTTGTGAAACATCACATTAAATTAAACATAAACAATTGTCTTCGTCAGTAATGCCATTTGAAGTGATTGAAAATATGAGACAGCAGTAAACGTGTACAGTAGCTAATGTCGCAAGTGTATGAAGTTCATTGAGTTCTGTACAGTAGCACAGTGAACGCTCAATAATAGCGCCCTCATTATTAAACCTCACAGGACTCATGTGAAAGGATGAGCGTCCCAGATAATCAGTGAACACTCAAACTAGGTGATGGGAAAAAGGGGTACTGATCTAACTTGTAAAAAATTTATCAGGCTTTACACTCTTAAAAATAATGCGGGAGGGTTGCTGAGATTATTTTTGGTTCCCTAAAGAATCTTTCAGAGAACAGTTCTTAAAAAGAAAAATTTTTTCTTAGTGCCAAGAACATTTAAGCATCTAAAGAACCTTTTTCCACTATAAAGAACCTTTTGTGCAATGGAAAGGTTCCGTGGATGTTAAAAGGTTCTTCACGGAACTATAGATGCCAATAAAGAACCTTTATTTTTAAGAGTATAGGAGTGCTGCAACATGGAAAGAGTTGTAACATCATCAATTCATGCAATTATAAATGAGTTAGAGGGGTGAAATCACTATTGTACAAAGACCACCAGCCTCTTGAGGTGACAGGAGGCGTATGATTCTTTATAGAACGGGATTTTCTGATAAAGCGTATGAATACTTTCATCTTTGGCTCATAATTTGTAAGGGATCCACAAAAATGTCATAATATTTGCCACAACTGGTTTTCAACGTGGCATTTTATTGGCCACAAAAGTTAGATGACACAAATGCTGGTGCTTACTTTTACTTGGCTATAAACGTGAAGTAAACAAATCAAGAATGCGCCACAGCAACGACACTTAATTATTGGACTGGCATTATTAACCACTTGATTATAGATATCACAGGTATGCCAAACGTACACTCTAAAAAAATGCTGGGTTAAATATAACCCAGCGCTGGGCTAACGGGACAAACCCAGCTATTGGGTTGTTTTGACCCAATAGCTGGGTTCAAAACAACCCAACCGCTGGGTCAAAACAACCCAATAGCTGGGTTTGTCCCTTTTTAACCCAGCACTTTTTAGAGCATATGTATTTTGTCTAAAAAGCCAAATATGGATTCTGGAGGCTTGAGATGAACCTCAAAAGACTGCAACCCTAAAAATGTTTTTAAAATGTAAAATTTGTTTAATATGTTTACTATTTCAAATGTTTAAAATTAGGCTAAAGGTGGTAAGCTGGGATGGGGTATATTGGGGATGGCATAATAAAACATTTTGCATCTGATTTTAGAAAAAAACTGAACTGAACTTTTTTATTGCAATTGAAAAAATAACAACAGTTAGGAAATAACATGGGGCTAACGGACATCATCACATGAAGTTAGACAAGTTACACAAATTAACAGAATGTACCAATGATAAGAAGAAGGAAAAAAAGAAAGAAAGGAAAGTCTTTTAAAGATAGCTTACAATAGACTCAAGAATGTTAAACGTTTTAGAAGCCTTTGCGTTCAAAGGATTTGACATATTCTTAAAAGAAGTAAAAAGCGACTTTATATCAGATGAAAACATTCTAAAGTTAGGTTTGCAATGAATGGTTCTGGCTTTATGAAGGTGAAATTTACCCAGAAGACAAAGCAATAAAACAATATGTTCCAGATTAATGTCCTTGGAATGAAAATCTGACAACAAAATGATAGATTCTGTTACAACAGTAAAATTGATAAGTGCTAATCTATTAATGTTAGACCTCACTGTGATAAAAAAAAAAGGGTAGGCATAACAAAATAACTCTTTGCACTTGACATTATTTTCAAAATTTTTTGCGATAAATGGTTTATTTCAAAACTATATTTTCAAGCATATTATATCAAAGTGTTAGACACCAACACGGGTCTTTCAGTAGAAATGACTGCATTTTCACAGTCACGATGTAATCTCTAGTCACTCCAGTTATTGCATTCAATCCAGGACACACACAGGATGCATGTGTTCGTGTACAGTAAACTCGATGCATCGCTTCAGAGAGAAAGCCGATTATCTGTAGTGCGCACTTGACTCTGCTGCTGTCATATACATCGGAGATAAACGCTTAGAAGATCGCAATGAAATGAGTTTCTATTAACACAAATACAGGACCGCAGGCGTCTGCTCCACGCTCAATGTAGAATAATCGATAGGTCTCGATTTAATCGGCGAATTATGCAGTCTTGTACAGTATATACCGGCTTCTCGCGTTTCGAACAAAGGAACTGAATTGGCTGAGCGAAATAGCCATACATATATATATATATATAAATATATATATATGCATATAATAGCCATATATATCACACTCACACTCACATGCACTGACAGAAAGAAACACTGATGCATTACAAAGCCACGGTGCTACAAACACAAGCTCTTACCCAAAATATTATGTTAAATCCAAATATGAAATATTTGATGCAGCAGCTGACTTCTTGACCCTTGTAATGCTTTCCTGACATCATTTGGCTGGTTTTCTTTAGAACAAACTTAAAACGCGAATTTCGAAGCCGGTTCAGTTTATTATTCCGTTCTTAGGACATCGATGTCAGACTGTCCCAGTAATGCTATTATCTGCATAAAAGAAACATAATGCTGAGCAACTTCAACAGCGCCTAAATCTGGTACAAGGCTAACTGTCATTTATAAACAAATCCGCTGACTTTAACACAGTGCGCCTCGAAATAACAGCCCCTTCTTCTCCGCAATTAGTTCTCAACGCTTCTTTTTTTCACTTGACATGGCTGCTTTTGATTGACAGCGCTAGTAACCAATCAGCTGCCGCGCCTCAACCCTCCCCCACTAGGACACGCCTCCCCATGAGCGTTGCTCAATTTTTAGGCTGTTATTTGATGCACAGTTTATTCTGTAACAAAGTGAATGGTTAGAACGATCGCTTTTTGTAAACTGCATTCTAAAAAGTGGAATAACTGCTGTTTGAATGCGGGAGAGACGAAGATCGGTGGCGTTTTCTCACATAGGGCAACAATTATATATTGTACTATGAATATTTTACTATTTTATAACCTATAATGTGACCCTGGAGCACAAAAGCAGTCTTTAGTTGCTGGGGTATATTTGTAGCAAGAGCCAACAATACACTGTATGGGTCAAAATGATCGATTTTTCTTTTATGCCAAAAATCAATGTTCCATGAAGATATTTTGCAAACTTCCTACCGTAAATATATCAAAACTTAATTTTTGATTAGTAATATGCATTGCTAAGAACTTCATTTGGACAACTTTAAAAGCAATTTTCTCAATATTTAGATTTTTTTTTGCACCCTCAGATTCCAGATTTTCAAATAATTGTACCTCGACCAAATATTGTCCTATCCTAACAAACCATACATCAATAGAAAGCGTATTTATTCAGCAAAAAATGACCATTATGACTGCTTTTGTGGTCCAGGGTCACAAATGCTTATGGTTTTCATAATATTGTAAACATAAATCATATTGAATTATACAGCCTAATATGTGGGCCTATATAACCATACAAATCCTATGGAATATAGAATAGAATATAGAAGACCCGGCTTCTACTCACACTTAACATACATTGTAAAGTATAACAATTAAACTGGAACGTTGTACCTAAATCTGGAATCACTGCAATTGCTGACAGAAAAATGTGGAAGGAAATTCCAGAACAGATTGTTTCGGTTTCATATCCGCAAGGCATCATCAGAGGCTTCCAAGAACTACTGAAAACTTCCCTAAATTGTTTGTCCAAATGGTAAAATGAGCACCATGGTCTCAAATTCAAAAATCAGGTCACATTTATATTCCTCATGTCACATCCATGTATACACTTTTTATTTCTTGTCAGTACTAAACATATGTACTTCAACTTAGGTGAACATTGTATAGATACATTGATAGTAACGTCGCCTACTTTTTCTTGCTCTATTATGACATCCTGTGGCCAAAAGTATACATCTGCAATGGTCTCCCAAGTAGCTGTCCAAAACAAAAAATTCCAGGACAAAGTATGTGAACCCGGCCGTTTCAGCATGATTCACACAGGCATCCTAAAAATATTGCTGGATTTAAAATTTTGTGAAGAGAAGTGTTGCAGAACACCTTCTGATTGTTGTGCATTTACCTCCTGACTGCAGATAACAGCTGCAGTCGCATTATAAAGGTTTTTAGCATTAAAATAAAAATTATTAAAATAAAGCTATGAAAATGAAAGCTACACTATCCATAAGTAACAAGCCAATCTCTGTTGTCCTCACATCAAAATCCACCAAGACAATCCAGTCAAGATGACTTTTCACTGAAGAAAGCAATATTATGGATATAAGACTTGTACTTTAGCCAGAAGCTATTTTGAAATTGAAAACGTCTTGATGTATTTGTTTATTACAGTACGAACACACAGCTTTTTCCTTCGGAATGCATAAATGAAAGTTGGAGCTAAACTCTGCAGGACACCGGCCCTCCAGGACCGAGTTTGGGCACCCCTGGTGTAGGCTATTCCCTCACCTACTACTATTACATTAAAACATGTTGCGTTTGACCAAACTGCTACTCGTTGTAAAAAGTAGCTCGCTTTAAATTCTATCAAGCTGCTGAATATAGCGTTATAGCGTCGCTAATTTTTGTTACTCACTGCCATAGACATTTAATTGCACTTAATCACTTAATTGCATTATGCTATTTAAAACAAAATGAAACTGTAGTTTACATTTATATTAAACGCCATTAGTTGAACTCAAAGCTTTTTTAACCCACTAACCATTCCATCTTTAGCTATTTATTAGGCTACTTCTGTTGTATTTTGAAATATGGTTAAAGTGGTGAATGTGCTGACAAGCATTAAGTAAATTAAAATATACTTAAAAGTAAAAATATAAACCATTAAATCATTCAAATATAAGTAATTTCCTTTAAAACTTGTATGTATTTAAATATATTTCTAATTACACATTTGTAATGATGAAGATGCAATTTAATACATATTAACTTAATGCAAAAACACTGCAGTTAAAATTAGAATCAAGTACTTCTCCTGTGATTTAGTGTGTTAGTCAACACATCAAAATAAGCTTACTTCTTTAATAAAGCCCGATAAAATATTATTAAAACATAATGATTTAAAATGTACTATGAAGTAAAACTTTTAATTTGACATTGTTACAAAGTGCACTTTTTAAAAGTGTACTTAAGTGTGTTAAGAAAAAGTCATAAAACTTTCTCTCTTGAAGTACACTTAGGCTAAGTGGCCATTTATTTAATTAATATTATATTATCTGCAAGTAAATATGCTTTAAGGATTTGAAGTACACTACAAGTGCACATTCAATAAAATTAAATGCACTTGTTTTTCACAAAGGAAATCACACACCATCATTATAAAAATTAGTACTGCAATTAGTACAGTTTTCCTTGGCACATTCTTAGACTTATACATATTGTCATGTCCTCTGACTCATCCTTTTGGTATATCACACACACTGTAAAAAATGACTGTGAATTTAACGGTAAAAGACTGTACAAATGCTGATGCAGTAAAAACCTGTTAAATGGTTAACGGTTGAAAAACTACTATACGTAAATATGCTTTAAGGATTTGAAGTACACTACAAGTGCACATTCAATAAAATTAAGTGCACTTGTTTTTCACAAAGGAAATCACACACTATCATTATAAAAATTAGTACTGCAATTAGTACAGTTTTCCTTGGCACATTCTTAGACTTATACATATTGTCATGTCCTCTGACTCATCCTTTTGGTATATTACACACACTGTAAAAAATTACTGTGAATTTAACGGTAAAAGACTGTAAAAATGCTGATGCAGTAAAAACCTGTTAAATGGTTAACGGTTGAAAAACTACTATATACGGTGAAAAACTGTATTGGGCATTACATGTAATTTTACGGTAATATACTGTTTTTGGAAGTGAAAAAGAATGTATAATTTACAGTGAATTAACATTCTCAGAATTCCCTGAGTTAATGGCAGCCATATCACCATGTAGCCCAAGACTGGTTACCCACTGAAGCTAAGCAGAGCTGAGCCTGGTCAGTACCTGGATGGGAGACCTCCTGGGAAAACTAGGTTGCTGCTGGAAGAGGTGTTAGTGAGGCCAGCAGGGGGTGCTTACCCTGTGGTCTATGTGGGTCCTAACGCCCCAGTATAGTGACATGGACACTATACTGTCAACCAGCACTGTCCTTTGGATGAGATGTTAAACCGAGGTCCTGACTCTCTGTGGTCATTAAAAATCCCAGGATGTCTTTCGAAAAGAGTAGAAGTGTGACCTCGGCATCCAGGCCAAATTTGCCCATTGGCCTCTGATCATCCTGGCCTCCTAACAATCCCCATATCTGCTGATTGGCTTCATCACTCTGTCTCCTCTCCACCA